ACTTACTGCCATTTTAATTTCAATATGTTGTTTTATTCTGTTATTAGGTGAAGAATCAATTCCTAGTAAATGGCTTCCGACAGAATCACCGGGCTTCCTGACAACACCATCGACGAAATTATTAAGTACTCGCCGTTGAAAAAAGTGGTGAGAACTAGTGTACTATCCAGAGAATGGAGGTATAAGTGGTTATCAGTTCCGCATCTAGATTTCAGTTGGGACTTCCAAAAATCACTGCCTTCGGAATGCCCCATTGAAGGTGTCATTTCCCACATACTGCTATTGCACAAAGGACCCATAGTCAAGTTTTCACTTTGATACAGTAACTATGCCCATGTGGTTGTTAATCGTTGGCTCCAGATCTTGAAAACAAAGTGCGTTGAGGACTTCTCACTTGGAGTTTGGGCCGAAACCACTATTTATGCCATACCTAGTGATCTATTTAGTTTTCATCTCCTCAGGCATCTGCATCTTAATTTAGTTGCGATGACTTTGCCTACTACTTTCAAAGGTTTTCCTGAGCTTGTCAAACTTACTCTTGAACTTGTCGAGATTACCTACGCGGAGTTGCACATGTTTATCTCTAGCTGTCCGAAGCTTGAGTGGTTGTATCTCCACGAGCTGACAGATGTCCCAACATTTTGGGTACATGATGTTGATGCCCCGAAACTCAAATACTTGGAGCTTGTAGGAAACAACGTCGAACTAGCTCCTTCTTTCAATGGCTTCAGTTTGCTTGCTGAACTTAGGATTTCTATAGTCAAAATTGCCCCACAAGTGTTGCAAGGTTTCTATCCGAATGCCCATTGCTAAGGTTGGTGTATATTAGCAGTTGTTATTATGAAACTCCATTTTCCCATCTCGATATTAGTGCTACTAATCTCTAACTGTCGAGTCTTATCCAACTTGAACTTGCGAATGTTCAGATTACTCCTGAAGGCTTAGAAAGTATTATTTCAAAATGTCCAATGTTTAAGCGCTTGTCGATTAGCTCATGTTTTTCACCTACCACAGTTTGGTGCCTTGATCTTGATGCTCCGAATCTTAGAGAACTCGTCATTAAACATACCGGCATCAAGCTTCCTCCTACATTCCATGGTTTTAGTAGACTTGCTAGTCTTTGTCTTGAAGGACTCGTCGTTGATCCTGAAGAGTTACAACTGTTCATATAAAAATGTCCAGTTCTTCAATCATTGATGGTTCGTAAGTGCAATGACCAAAATGGATTTTGGCCTCTCAACATCGATGCTCCTAATCTCCGGGTCTTGGAACTTAGACGGCTTATTCAGTTTAATTTGTGTGCAAAACACACAATCTGTTCGGGAAGTTTCTGGCGTATATCCATATTTTGCTTTATTGAGTAAAGATGCTGATTATGAAAATTTTAGATCTTCTCGAACAATTGGAGATGGGAGTAACATGAGTAAGTTTTTAAGTCACCTTCCATCTCTTGTAAAACTAGAAGTTGGAATCTCGTTTTTGCAGATGCAATTAGTACATACTTTAAATTTTTTTGCATTTAGTCATTGTGTTAACATTTTGAGGTGCAAATAATGTGGAGTTCACCTTATTTATTTTTATTGAAGTTCCTGGCTTTGGGTGCCGTGCCGCAAGAACTTCCTAGCAAACTTAATAATCATTGAAATAATATATTGTTATTGGCGATTTAATAGTTATACCTTCAACGATAGAATCATATATACTTGAAACATTTCATACTTGGCTACAATTGATCGATATGTTTGACAAAAGCATGGCGACCTCTATGTCTTCTGCACGGTGCTCATCCTCTTTGTAGAGGTCAAGCAGGGCATCTGTGCATTCTTTCTAGAAATGGCTTATGCTCCCTCCTTGTTGCTCATTATTGCCTCTCTATTTCAATAAAGTTATTTGATTAGATAAAATATAATTGGCGCGCGCACACACATACATATATGTTAACTTAAATGTGCAGACAATAATCAAATACTTGAATATCTCATTTTAATTAGCAAATGATGAAGATAGCGACGAGATTATGTCATTTCATGTTAAGAAACACGCCCTCGTTTCTAGGGTTAAGTAGGCGAGTGTTGCAATTGTCTTGTTTTGCATTCTTTTGCTACTGGCTTCCTCTATTAATAATGTTCTTTGTTGTAGGCTTAAAGTCCTGCACAAGAAATGAGCCATCACACGTAGTTGTCTATAGATGGTGATAGTTAAGGTTCTTTACATATTTTTGACCAATAAGTTTTTATTTTTTCTTTTTTATTTTTTATATGAGTATTGCAATGTCCAAAGATGTTTCAATTGATGCATCAAATGAAAAAGCTAATGAACCGTACATAATACAAAGAAATGAAATCAAATCTATATTGAAGTGAAAGTGGGAATAATCGAAGAAGGAGCCCTCTTATTCTTCATTCAAAGTCTATATTGAAGTGGAAGTTAAGAAAGCTTTCGATTTGGTTATTTTTCTCGATAAATGATTGCTTGTATGCAAATAGGACAATTAATTTTCTTTCTATCCCAATTATATGGAACGATCTCATTTTGATCACAAAAGATAAGTGTATATTAGCACATCCCTTATCTCCACATGAAATAAATGAATCACGACAAATGAAGTTTCTGTCTATCTACGGCGAATGTTTTAAATACGTTCAACAATTGACGGTTTTAGAGCTGGAATAAAGTGATGCTTTAGTTGGACTTCATTTAGTTTATAAATATGCTTAATACTATATGTTCCCTTTTAACGAGAGCACAAGAGTAGATCTTCGATCATCCTCTAATTAAATAAAGGGGACTTTGAATAAAGAATAAGAGGGCTCATTCTTCGATTATTCGCTTTCACTTCAATATAGATTGAATCTCATTTATTGTATTCTTGCTTATGTCTTTTAAAAGTTTACTGATTCATGGTGAACTTACATATCTTAGTTTATTCAACTTTTTGTATGTTTCATTAGCTTCTGTATCCGATGCATCAATTAAAACATCTTTAGACATTAAAATTATGCATAGTTATATAAAAAATTATTGTCCAAAGAAATTGTAAAGAACCTTAACTATCACCGTCTATTTACGACTACAATGGCACATTTCTTGTGCCGGACTTTAAGCCGACAACAAAGAACATTCTAAAGAGAGGAAGAAAGTTGAAAAAGAAATTAAAAAAAAAATAACAATTGCAACATTCGTCTACTTAATCCTAGAAATAAGGTGCGTTTCTTAACATGAAATGACATGATTTCATTGCTATCTTCATCATTTGCTACTTAAAGGAGACATTCAAGCATTTGATTCATTGTCTGCACATAAATTCACACACACACACATACATACATATATATATTTGTGAGTGTGAGTATGCGCGCATTATATTTTATTCAATCAATTAGTTTTATTGATTTCGAGAGGCAATAATGAGCAACGAGGAAGCATAAGCCATCTGGAGAAAGAATGCACAGATGCGCTGCTTGACCTCTGTAAAGAGGATGAGCATCGTGCGGAAGACTTGGAGGGTGCCATGCTGTTATCAAACATGTCGATCGATTGTAAGATGATTCTTGATAGAGTACATTAGTGTGCAAAGAAAAACAGAATGTTGTTATTTTAATTACTATGATAATATATAGGGTTTGTTCAGTCATATTTTTTCCCGACAACAGAGAGTAGATATTTCAAGTATATACAATTCTTAAATTTCTTTATGGATCATTCTGTTGTTGAATGTATAACTATTAAACGCCAATAAAACTACATTATACTCCAACATCAATATGAATGTGTGATTTGTAATTAAGCAGCATATGGTACTTGTAATTAAGATCTCCTCATTAAATTAAAATCTAAGAGGAGAAACAAAAATGAATGTCTTGCTCTGTGCTGACGCTGCTGGACTCCCGAGCTTCCGGTTCAGATAGGGTAGGGTCGTACTGGATTTCTTTGCATTATCATTTGGGTTCTTTCGCTTTTCTCGTTTCCTTTGGCGTTTCTATATATGCCTGAGTCTCCTGTCTTTGCTTTGTAAGTATTTAGAATTACATATGACTTGATGCAGTTTGTATACGTAGATTGCTTGGATTTCCAAGCCCGACCATTTATTAACTGAAAGCACAAAATAATATGGAGTTCACCTTATATATATTCATTAATTCTTGGCTCTGTGTAGCTGGTGTGCAACAAGAACTTTCTCGAAAGCTCTCAATTATTTAATGATGATTGAACTCAGTGATGTGAATTTTGAAATCTTAGACGTAGTCACATTTGTTGTTTTCTTGATTAGAAGTCGTTGAGAATTAATGTGTTGAATTTTATAATTGTGAAAAATAAATTCTAAATTGAATTTTAAATTTTAAATTCAAATTCAAAATTTAATAATGTCTTGGTCAGAGTCTTTAATTGGTATCGGTTACGAGTTTATTGTAATATATATATATATATAGGCCTCAAACTTTATAAAAAATTCATTCCATTATAATATTAATAATAAAAAAATCCAAGAGAAGTTACCCTAAAAATTAAAAAGCGCAACCGCTTGGGTTGGGTGTGTTTAAAAGAGAAAGACCTATTTCATATGCAAGTATTAATAATAAAAAATAAACCCCCTATTTAAAGTTGGCAGATGGATACCTGTAATAAAAAAGTCGGAATAAGTGACAAACGTGTTTACCCGATATAAATTAAAAAATTTTGTGTTTCACTAAAACCCTAAAAGTTTAATCCAGCGGCGGATTTGTTGTTGCTGAGTGCTTTATCATACGCAGAATTGATTTTCTACGGCTGCTTTAACTTGGGGTAAGGTTACTATGCTTAGACTTTGTGCGTTTTGCCCAGATTTTCTTGGATTTTGAAGAATTACAAACAAATATTTTTCTACAACTGCTTTTACTTGGGGAAAATTATGATACTTTTGATTCTTGCTTAGATTTTGAAAAATTACAAATAAATAATTTTCTAAAACTGCTTTAACTTGGGTAAGATTTTGATGCTTTCGATTCTTTCTTAGATTTTGAAAAATTACAAACAAATAATTTTCATGGGATAAGATTTCGATGCGTTTTTTGCTATTGACGCACACACTCCCCTGTTTTGATTCTTGCTTATAAAAGATTTTGATATATTTTGGTACAACTACTTTAACTTGGGGTAAGATTTTGATGCTTTTTTTCGCTATCAAAGCGCACACTCTCTGTGAGTTTTGATTCTTGCTTAAATTTTGTTGGATTTTGAAAAAGATTATGGATCTGAGGTTTTCCTATGGTTACTTCCTTATTTAATCCGGTAAAGGAAAATAGCGTTTAATGATATGGATTGTGCTATTTACTGCCATTTTAATTTCAATCTGTTGTTTATTCTGTTATTAGGTGAAGAATCAATTCCTGGTAAATGGCTTCCGATAGAATCACCGGGCTTCCTGACAACACCATCGACGAAATCCTTAAGTACCTGCCGTTGAAAGAAGTGGTGAGAACTAGTGTACTATCTAGAGAATGGAGGTATAAGTGGTTATCAGTTCCGCATCTAGATTTCAGTTGGGACTTCCAAAAATCACTGCCTTCAGAATGCCCCATTGAAGGTGTCATTTCCCACATACTGCTATTGCACAAAGGACCCATAGTCAAGTTTTCACTTCGATACAGTAACTATGCCCATGTGGTTGTTAGTCGTTGGCTCCAGATCTTGAAAACAAAGTGCGTTGAGGACTTCTCACTTGGAGTTTGGGCTGAAACCACTATTTATGCCATACCTAGTGATCTATTTAGTTTTCATCTCCTAAGGCATCTGCAGCTGAATTTAGTTGCGATCACTTTGCCTACTACTTTCAAAGGTTTTCCTGAGCTTGTCAAACTTACTCTTGAACTTGTCGAGATTACCTACGAGGAGTTGCGCATGTTTATTTGTAGCTGTCCGAAGCTTGAGTGGTTGTATCTCCACGAGCTGACAGATGTCCCAACATTTTGGGTACATGATGTTGATGCCCCGAAACTCAAATACTTGGAGCTTGTAGGAAACAGCGTCGAACTAGCTCCTACTTTCAATGGTTTCAGTTTGCTTGCCGAACTTAGGCTTTCTATAGTCAAAATTGCCCCACAAGTGTTGCAAAGGTTTTTATCCGAATGCCCATTGCTCGAGTTGGTGTATATTAGCAGTTGTTATTATGAAACTCCACTTTCCCGTCTCGATATTAATGCTACTAATCTCAAACTGTCAAGTCTTATCCAACTTGAACTTGCGAATGTTCAGATTACTCCTGAAGGATTAGAAAGTATTATTTCAAAATGTCCGATGTTTGAGCGCTTGTCGATTAGCTCGTGTTTTTCACCAACAACAGTTTGGTGCCTTGATATTGATGCTCCGAATCTTAGAGAACTCGTCATTAAACATACCGGCATCAAGCTTCCTCCTACCTTCCATGGTTTTAGTAGACTTGCTAGTCTTTGTCTTGCAGGACTCGTCATTGATCCTGAAGAGTTACAACTGTTCATATCAAAATGTCCAGTTCTTCATTCACTGACCGTTCGTAAGTGCAATGACCAAAATGGGTTTTGGCCTCTCAATATTGATGCTCCTAATCTCCGGGTCTTGAATTTAGACGGCTTATTCAGTTCAATTTGTGCGCAAAACACACAATCTGTTCAGGAAGTTTCTGCCGTATATCCATATTTTGCTTTATTAAGTAAAGATGCTGATTATGGAAGGTTAAAATCTTCTTGGGCAATTGGAGATGAGAGTAACATGATCAAGTTTTTCGGTCAGCTTCCATCTATTGTAAAATTGGAAGTTGGAATCTCGTTCTTGCAGGTACAATAAGTACATACTTCAAATTTTTTTGCATTTAGTCATTGTGTTAATTTTTTAAGGTGCAAATAATGTTGAGTTCACCTTATGTATTTTTATTGAAGTTCCTGGCTTTGGGTGGCGTGCCACGAGAACTTCCTAGCAAACTTAATGATTTGAAGACTATTGAACTAAAAAAAATGAATTTTGGAATCATGGACCACGTCAATTCTGTTGTTTGCTTGATTAGAAGCTCCCCTAAGTTGTACAGCCTTGTCATTAATGTAAGTATCCTTCATTAGCATGTTTTGTTTTTTTTGGTTTTTGATTTGTATTCTTTCATAGTTCCATTCTCACACTTGTCATATGTATGTATGTATATACCAGTTTGAAGGTTGGCAGACCAGGAGTTGGGGAGAGGAGTGGAGTCATGTTAACGAATCAATTAGAGCAGAGCAAACACAAAAGGCTGTTGAATATATGAAAGACATACAGAAGCAAAATATTCCTTACAACGACATCAAAATTGTGAAGATGAAATTGTTTGAGGGCACTCAACCTGAGTGGAATTTGTAAAGCTTATTCTATTGTGGGGGGTAGAACTTGAACAATTGAATTTACTTTCTCATTCTAGGAATTACTTTGAATTGGACGGGGCAAAAAGAGAGTTGAAGTTGTTCTATTTGGAGTCATCTTTCAAGGCTAAATTTTTTATAGATAAACAGCTAGTGTAAAATTTTGGCTTTTGCCATGAATTATTGCTTTGTTGTGAATATTTGTATTAAGCTGCATTTCGGAATCTCTACATTTTTCTTTTGTTTTATTAATTTTTGTTTTTAATGATTTGTATTAATGGAGTTATAATTCTATTTTCTGTTTCTTTATATATATATTTATATTTTTTTGTGTCGATTCAATTTTAAGTCATCCAATTATGGTTCAATTAAAAATTTTCTTTTGTGTTTTTATGTGCATTTATAAATTAAAGCAATTCAAGATAATTAAAGAAATATTTTTTGTTGGCACCTAAACATCATTTATTGAAGTTTATAAAATTTCAGCTTTAGATAGCCACTTTCCTCTTTCACAACACCGCGGCGGATTTACAGATTGTACTTTTCTCCTTATCCATAAGGATCGGACACCTCATTTACATTAGATTATTCTATATGTTTAAGATAGTCAAAAATTATTCTATATGTTTAAGATAGTCAAAAATAAATGAGTTTTGTGCATTTAATCCCAAGTACCTGTCCAACAATCAAATCCTCGAACATTAAATGCAGATATTGTTACAAATTCTAAGCACAACAGAAACAACACAAAACACAATACTTAATATCTCAATTAAATTTGTATATGTTCCGAGTGCTGCCAGTAGAGGCTTTTCATTTCATTATGAATAAAAATGATGAAATATATAGATTCTGTTTCTTATTTCCTTCTCAAACAAGGCTCTGTTTATTTGATTCTATACATTTCTAAATATTTCGAAATCCTCTGCCTGATGCTGTAAGAACAAGCGCACTCTCAAAAGAGTGGAGGTATAAATGGATACCAAGCCTTGTTTTCGATTTCGAAATCGAATTAGATGATTCCGTGGGTAATTGGAAGCATGATCCTTAACCTGTAATAGATCGAATCCTTGTGCTTCATAAAGGGCCTATAACCAAATTTTTTAACTCAAGGAAGCCTATGCAGTTTGAGCGTTGCTGCTTTTGATCGTTGGCTCCTTTACTTGTCGAACAACCATAATCATCATATGGAAGATCTTTCGATTGCTTATCCTCGCTTGGATATACTTAGTAGGATTTCGACATTTCTGTTTGCTTTTGATAACCTCACACATTTGTGTGTTGAAAATGTTGTCATCACACTTTCACCTCAATGGAATGGTTTTGGTAAGCTTGTTAAACTCGAGCTCCTGTCTGTTTCTGTTGAGCTTGATGAGCTGATGACTCTACTTTCTAAATGTCCGATGCTCGAGTACCTTGATTTCGAGGTAGATATTTTCTCAATATATATTTCTACCTAAAATGATCCGTGAATGTGTATTGATCATGTGCAATTCTAATGCAAGAAATAAACAATTAGGGGCGAGGATAAAGGATGCGACAAAGAGCTGAATCATCGTCACTGTTCTAAAAGTTAGGGCAATTAATTTCAGAGTTCCGGTAGATGTTGCTTGTGTTGTTAGCTTGTTGCAAAGCTCTCCGAATTTGCATTCTCTGGAAATTACTGTAAGTGACATTATTCTTTCTATGAACTTGCTCTGTTTTATATATATCTTTCTCTCATTTGATCTTTTTCCTTTTTAGTGTGATCATCGCAGACATTATTTCATGAATTATTTCATCAATGAGGAGCACACTCTCGAGGTTCTCAAGTCTGTAAAACCTATTAATCTGACACACCTGGAAAGTGTAATGATCTCGCTCTTGTCTGGTTATGTGGCGGAGGTGGAATTCATTAGGAATGTTTTGCAGTGGGCAAGTGTACTGAAGTACATGACATTGAAATCTACTTTCAGTGGCATCGGCGATGAGCCTAATTTTAGTAAGATGGTAAAAAGCTTGGCTAAATGACATAACGGTGGGCTAGAGCCGCCTCTTTATTTGATCTCCGGCTTTGGGATAAATGATCCCTTAGCTGATGTCTGATTAAACTCTCAAATTGGGAATTGCTGCCTTCAGAATACCCCCCCTGAATGTGTCATTTCTCATACACTGCTATTACACAAAGGACCCATTCGAAAGTTTTCACTTGAATATACTAACTCTGGCCATATGGTTGTCGATCGATGGCTCCAGATCTTGAAAAGCAAATGTGTCGAGGAGTTCTCACTCGGAATTTGGACCGAAACCACTCTTTATTCCATACCTAGTGATCTATTTAGTTTTCATCTCCTCAGTCATCTGCAGCTTAATTTAGTTGACATGAAATTGCCTACTACTTTCCAAGGTTTTCCTGCACTTGTCAAACTTAGTCTTAAACATGTACGGATAACCTACGAGGAGTTGCGCACGTTTATCTCTAAATGTCCGATGCTTGAGTGGTTGTCTCTCAACAAGCTGAGAGATCTCCCAACATTTTGGTTACATTATATATTGATGCTCTGAATCTTAGAGACTTGCGTCTTAAACATACCAACATCAAGCTTCCTCCTACATTCCATGGTTTTAGTAGACATGGTATGCTGTGTCTTGAAAGACTCACCATTGATCCTAAAGAGTTACAGCTGTTCATATCAAAATGTCTAATTCTTCAATCATTGACTGTTCATCGATGCAATGACCGAAATGGATTTTGGCCCCTCAACATTGAGGCTTCTAATCTCCTGATCTTGAATTTAGACGGCTTATTTAGTTCAATTTGTGTGCAAAACACACAATTTGTTCGGGAAGTATTTGTAAAATATCCATAATTCGATTTATTAAGTAAAGATTATGATTATGGAAATTTTGGATCTTCTCGAGCAATTGGAGATGGAAATAACATGATCCAGTTTTTCGGTGGGTATCCATCTCTTGTAAAACTAGAAGCTGGGAATTTCTTTCTACATGTACAATTAGTAAATATTATAATTTTTTTTGCATTTTTTATTGTGTTAATATTTTTAATGAGCAAAATAATGTGGAGTTCACCTTATGTATTTTCATTTTAGTTCTTGGCTCTGCATGAAGTGCCGCAAGAACTTCCTCGAATGCTCAATGATTTGAAGACGATTAAACTAAGAAATGTGAATTTCGGAATCATGGACAATGTTGCTTGTGTTATCTGTTTGATGCGAAGCTCCCCTAAGTTGTATGGCCTTGACATTAATGTAAGTATCCCCTTCATGGATTTGTTAGTTTTTTTTTTTTTTCTTTTTTTCAGTTTTGGCTTGTGAATTCTTTCATAGTTCCATCTCACACTTGTCATACATATGTATGTATATTATCAGTTTGATGCTTGGCTGCTGTGGGCTCCGAGAGCTGAGGAGACGTATAAAGCTATCAATTATCTTAAAGCCAATCAGAAGCAAAATATTAATTACAACAACCTCAAGATTGTGATTATGAAATTTGTGGGCATTCAACCTGAAATGAAATTTGTGAAGCTTCTTCTATTGAAGGGGACAGAACTTGAACAATTGAAACTAACTTTTCTTTCTATGGATGACGGTGAATTGGACAAGGCAAAAATGGAGTTGAAGCTATTCTATTGAGGTTCTTCGTCCAAAACTAAATTTTTCATAAATAATCAGCTGGTGTGAAATTTTTTTCTTTGACCATGAATCATTGTTTTGCTTAGGATCGATTATTAAGCTTTTTTTTTTGACATTGTTTAGATTATTCGCATCCATTCAATTTTAAGTGATGCATAGGACAGAGATACCAGTGTACCATTCACAAGTAGAATAATTCGATAGAATTAAGTAACTTTACCAACAATAAATGAGATCATTTGAATACAAGTGAGGAATGCAATTATGGTTCAATTAAAAATTTTCTTTTGAATTCTTGTGTGCATTTATAAATTACATCAAGTCAAAATAGTTGAAGAAATATTTTTAGCTGGCCCCAAAATATCATTTATTGGAGGTATATAAAACTTAAATTTTAGATAATCACTTTCTTCTTACAGAATAATAATATTATTCTTCTAAAGATTTAATTCCAACTATTTGTCCAACAGCCGAATCACCAAACATCAAATGGAGATATTATTATAAAATTTTAAGCATAAAGGAAACAACACAAAACACAATATTTAATTACTCAATTCAATTTTTCTATGTTCCGAGTGGCCTGTAGAGGTTTTTCATTGTGAATAAAAATGATGAAATGAATGCAAACATTTGAGATTAAATAAGAATAGTGCTGTTTACTTTGATTTCTCTCTCTCTCTCTCTCTTTGCTATGCAACAATCACAAATCTCTCTAAATACACATTATATTTACTCTCTTAGATGCATAGATCAGATTGTAATGTCTTCAAATACAAGTTGTTGTGTGTAGGCAATTAGGCATGCATATGCTTGTTCCACATTATTTGCTCTCTTGTTGCTTACAAGTTATACGTACATCTTTAATATCAGTTTGTAGGACAAGAAACTGACCAGACTCAAGATTTTATGTGCAGGCTGGCATATGCTTGTTCCTTCTCAGCCAGGCTAGCCTTGTAAATCAACCATCGCCCAGTGGTGGATCAAATGCAGTATCTGTTTGTATATAAATAAGTATAAATCAACCAGGCAATTTCTGTTTGTGCAAAAAGAATATATATTAGCATGGATTTTGGTGAAATAGTCACATCATGTTTTCATCATCTCTAGAATTAAACTTACTATTTTGAGCTAACATTTCTAAGAGCAAATGAGGAGAAGATTTAGGGGAAGAAACGATCAAAGATGGTTTTAGATATGGAATTAAAAATGGGAACAAATAAGATGCTGTGTTTTTATTTTTCATTTTAGCTCCACATGTATGTGTGAGAATGATAATTTATTTCTCAATCTTAAATTTTCAAATCAAATCAAGTTCTTGACTCTTCTCACAGAGATTTGTGGGAGGTTCTTAATGAGAAAAATCGTGTCTCTTAGCATGCCAAAGATCGGAATATTGCTCCCTCTCAATATGGTGATTCGTTGGATACTTCTTCCCAGCGCTCTAAGCTGGATAAAGGCAAGGCTAAGGTGAATGCCTTTTTAAATTTCGTTGTTGGATCATGGGAACCATAAGATATCTATGCAGAGGCCGTCTTGGACTTTTTTCGGCTTTAAGCAAAAATAAATTGTAAGTTCTATTAACACACAATTAGATGTATTTTCAAAATAATATCACTAACAGTAGCCTCGAAACAAGAGGTTGAAGACAGGGGTAGTGTTCGGCGGAAGAAGATGGAAGGCTAACAGGCCGCTATGGTGTCTGGAGGTTTGAAGAGTGAAGATAGAGTGTTGTGGTATGGGTAAGAATAAGAGATAAAGAAAACTACAGTTAAAATATTAAAGTACAAATTGAACAACAACAATAATAATAATAATAATAGGTTTAATTTGCTTTTCCCATTTGGAAAATTAGATTTTAAAAAGATTTTCCTAGACGACCCGTTCTTTTATATTAGAATAATAATAATAATAATAATAATAATAATAGGTTTAATTTGTTTTTCCCATTTGGAAAATTAAATTTTAAAAAGATTTTCCCAGACGACCCGTTCTTTTATATTAGAATATATATTTAAATCTTCCACACTTTAAATAATTAATATAAATTTACATATATATATATATTATGAAACCCTAGAGTATAGAAGAGCAACTGCTTCACATCTCCGGATGTTCTATCAGCCACCCTTTTCTACAAACGTTTCAACTCCGGTAAGGGTTTTGATCTTTCCTTACTTTTTGTTGAATATTTTCCACCTTTTTGTGGGATTGAAAACAATTACGCATCTGAGTTTTTGATTACCTGCGAATCTGTTCGTTTTTTTTTTTTTTTTTTAATCACTAACAAAAGATATGCTTCGATGGAGGCAGTCGACCAGAAAAAGGGTTTGGAATTTGGGGTAACATATGAATTGGGCTATTAGGAAACAATTTTTGGTAAAGTTTCTACACTATTTATTGTAATCTCACTCTAATCCATTTGCGCTAGAAATTTTTGTTTGGTATTAATTCTGCTCAACACATTGATGTGAAATTGGATAAGAAATAGTTTATTTGATTTTGATGTTTTTTTACATTTCATGATGGCGATCTTTAAGTTTGATTCTTGAATTGGTTGTACTACAAGGTTAATTAGTGTTTGATTGGTAGATTTAACTGTTTGCAGAATTATCTTTGGAACTGAATAATTTGTGCACAAAACTATGGATTGTGCTGTTGATAGGATTTCCGATCTACCTGACGATATCATAAATAAAATTCTTTCATGCATGCCTTTGGATGAAGCTGTGAGGACGAGCACACTATCGTCCCAATGGAGATATAAATGGACAACCATTCCAGTCCTTGTTTTCCCCCATGAAATCTGGGATGCAAAAATCGTGGAAGCCATGGTTGATCAAACTTTGTCGCTTCATGATGGGGCCATAACCAAGTTTTCACTCAAACGTTGTTGTATCAAAAGCAATTCTTCTGTCAGTCGCTGGTTATCTTACTTGTCTGGCCATGGCATTAATAGCCTTGAGCTTTCGGTTTACAGAAAAAATCAAAATACGGTGCCCCTTTCTCTCAAGGGTTTTGATCACCTCCAGCATTTGTACCTTGGATATACTTGTCAAGTTAAAATTCCTCCTTCATCAAAAGAATTTAACAAGCTTGTTAAGTTGGAACTAATCTACTCGATATTAAAATTGGTGAGTTGGAAGTGTTGCTTTCCAAATGTCCAATGATTGAATACTTGGATCTGAAGGTGGGGTTTAATTCTAGATTTCTCATTGTGTCTACTTTTCCTTATTCAGATTAAATTTCTAATTGTTTTCCTCTTATGTGGTTTAATTTAAGATCCGTGGCCGATGTGAGACTAAAGAACTTTCGATCAAGCTCAATCATCTCACTTTTATAAAGCTTCGTAGTTGCAACTTTGTAGATTTGGGGAATATTGATGTTTTTCTAAGCTTGATGAAAAGCTCCCCCAATTTGCAAAGTCTAAATCTTTATGTTAGTGATACACATTTACTTTTCATTACATTTTCTTTTCTATTACATTATCACTCATTTCATCCTTTTCTTTCTCTTAGGGTGATGGTGCAGTCAGGAACTGGGATGATAGTAGTATCATGAAATATCTGAAGGCGCAACACTCTTCTAATGTTTGTCTCAGTCGCCTTGAAAATGTGAAGCTTCGGTGGATGATGGGTTTTCCATCGGAGTTGGAGTTTGTGAAAATCCTTTTACGTTGGGCAAGTGCACTTAAAAAATTGGAAATATATACTCGTTGGGCGTGTGACAACACACGAATAATCCAAATGATAAGAGAGCTTGAACACATCAAATGCTCCATGTCATCTAAAGTAGAATTTATATTTAACACACCTTGATGGGTAGTTATCCACTCCAATTAGCACTGTTAGCAGTATGGTATTTATGGTACATCTGTTCTATCATATGCATCATTCTCATTTTATAGATTATTTGAAACAATTCACCTTTAAATTCTTGAGCTTTAATTTTACAACCTCATATATGTGTTTAGTTGTTTGGTGTTCTATGTCAAGAAACACAGTTGTTTAATGAATTGACTAGGTGTGTGCTGTAGTTGTTTCCCTGTGCTTTCTTCTTGAATCATTTTAAAAGCAAAACAGCAATGAAATGAAATTAATATTAAGGAAATATTGGGTATACAAATATAGTTTAATCCTAGAACTTATCTTGTGCTCTTATGTACATTTATATATTAAATCAAATTTAAGGTGATTAAATGAAGACGTTACGATGGCGTCAACATCATTTACAACACATATTTAAAACTTTAGTTGTTGATAAACAAGTTCTACTTGCTATGATATCATTCCATATAGTTAGGTTGTACAATATACATTCATTGCCCCTTTATGGCATACAAACAATCATAGATTGTGAATAACAATGAAGGGTTTTCTTTATTATTGTCAAACTATGACACCAAAAATATTGCAAAAATCTAAGGAAAAAAAGAAGTGGGATCCAAAATCTTTCTACAGGAATATTTTGATACTTTGAGTCAAAACACATCACGAGTCATTCCAAAAATACGTTAAATTCCAACATAATATCAGTTTCAGTACAAAAAAAAATAGTGTATTTGTAACGGAATTTCGTTCCTAAAGTTCACGTAGCTAACGTAATTTCATCTTTAATTTCGTCTCTAATATCATTAGTAACAGAAAAAGTGAATTTAAAAACAATATATGCTTGCTCCTCCTCGGCCCAGCTAGCCTCATAAATCAACCGTATGCCGGTGGTGGATTCAAGGAAATTGATGTTTGTATAAAAATAAGTATTTATATATTAACATGCATTTTGGTTAGATAGTAGCATTTTTGCTTTCTTTACTACGGCACGTCTTCTGCTCCTCGGTCATCCTCTTTGAGAGGTCGAGGAACGCATTCTAGCATTCCCTCTTGCGATGGCTCACACCACCTCTGAAATAATACAAGCAATAGAGTGATGAATTTATGTATGCACACAAAGTAATTAAATGTTTATATTTATGAATTTATGCCTGCACACAAAGTAATAGAGTGATGAATTTATGCCTGCACACACGTTATATTTATGAATTTATGTATGCACACAAAGTAATTAAATGTTTTGAAATATATCTCATCTTTAATAGAATGTTATGAAGATGGTGATGAGAGAATGCATATTTACATGTTAAGAAGCATACCTCGTGCGTTGGCTTAATTAACAAAGTAGTACTGTTGTTATATTGGGCATTTTTTTTCGATCTTTTTCCATTATTTGGAATGCACTTGGTTGAAGGCTTAAAGTTCTGCCAAATCCAGTTATTAGTAGATGGTCATAGATAAGTTTTACTACATGATCTTTGGTCAAAAATTTTATATGAATCTACATAACTATTGAATTTTTTTTGAAATTTTTCAATTGATTTATCAAATAAAGCCAAATCGAAATAAATAACTTCACTGAGAATCAATAAACTTATGTAAACATCATCAAGAAGACTAGAAATAAGTTCAGATTATAAATGAAAGGAAGTCCAACTTAAGTTTCACTTTAGCTGGCTCCGAAACCTTCATTAAATACTCGTATTTAAAATGTTAACCATTAATAGACTTACTTTGTCGCGATTTAAATACTCCACATGGGGAAAGTGATGCATCGTCGCTACAACAAAATTCGTGATGATAAAAAAGATATAATTCCATATAATTTGGGTGAAATAAATAAATATTATTTTTGTTGTATTCGCCTCTTTTGCGTGCCATACAAACAATCATGTTGATCAAGGAAAACAACCAATTGGAGGATTACTTCATTGTCAATCGGTCTTTCTTCATAAAGATTTCTATAGTTCAGCAAATCTTTTTTTTAAATATATATATATATATATATCAAATGAGTCACAAAAATACAGACAATCCTTCTCCAAATTTTCAATCAAGAATTAGGGTTTCTAAACTAAAACTTCATACAAATTCACCTGCAAAAGGGAATCATATAACCCCAATCTGAACTTAAGGATCACATATCCAATATATATACAGATAAACCCTCTGATTCCCACAGCAATCAGAACTCGCATAGAAGAACGATCAAATGCAAATACGATACGATCAAACGCATAAAGTTAAATCACAAATTGACCTAATTAGCCGTCTGCCTCCCATGACAGATCTTGAGCCATTGTCTGAGCTGTTATGAATAATAATGGGTTTTGCTTTTCCCATTGTCAAATTGCATTTTAAAAAGTTAGACCATGCTGAACGTCTTGCTTGAAATTTATAATTTTATTTATTTATTCTTTTGCATTTTAAATAATATTAAAGAAAAAAATTATAAAATTCATTACCGTTGTGCTTGTTTGGAAGACTCTTCAAATTCTACTATTTATCAATTTTGTATCTTTAAAAAATTAAAACAAATCATATATTTTATTTTTTATTTTATATTAAAAAATAATTTAAATTCAAAACATCACAACGTTGTTCAATTCAAAAATTTTATTATTCAAATTTAAATTTAAATTCAAAATCCAAACCCAACAAACACACCCTAGGTATAATCTACAAAACCCTAGAAAAGTTGAAAAGAGCGGCGTGGGCGGGTGAAACTATAGAGCGTAGAGAAGACTCAGATCTCCGAAATTTCTGTTTCTCGCTTAATCTTATCAACTACCATTGTCAACTTGGGTAAGGGTTTGAGGGTTTTGATTTTTTATTACATCTTGTTGAAATTTTTCCCCCCTTTTTTGTGATTGAATAAAAGTATGCATCTGAGTTTTTGTTTTCCCGTGGATCTGTTTTTTTTTTTTTAATCGCTAACAAAAAGATGGTTTCGATGAGGCAGTCGATCAAAAATTAGGGTTTGAAATTGGAGGAAACATAAGGATGGTGCAATTAATTACCATTTAAGGGTTTTGTTTTTTAAATTTTTTCATCACTGATTGATTCATATGATGATTGAATCAGGTGAAAGATCATTCTCTAGACAATGTCTGACGACAGAATCAGTAGGCTTCCTCGCCAGATCATGGACAACATTCTCAAGTTCTTGACAATTCAAGAAGCTGTTAGAACGAGCACACTATCCACTGCGTGGAGGTATAAGTGGGCGACTGCTCCAAATCTTGTTTTCGATTGGGAATTCAAAGAATCGTTGCCTGAAAAATGCCCCCCCGAATTAGTCATTTCTCACATAATGCTAATGCACACAGGATCCATTGTTAAGTTTTCTGTTACAGATGTTCTTGAAAGTAGCCATTTGGGTGTGGATGAGTGGCTCCACATCTTGAAACCCTCCGACATCGAGGAGTTTGCACTTGATGCTCCTGCGGTATCCACTCGTTACGCTGTGCCTCATTATCTATTTAGTTTTCATCTCCTCCGAAAACTGGAGCTTGATTCTGTTGACATCAGTTTACCTCATAATTTCGATGGTTTTGGTGCGCTCGTTGAGCTTAAGCTTACGAATATCCATATTTCGTCCGAAGAATTGCGCGCATTTATTTCTAAATGTCCGATGCTCGAGTGCTTGTCTATTCGAATGGTTCAGTCACTTATTCGCTCGACAATATTTTGGTGCAACAATGATGATTTTCCGAGAATCAAGTACTTGAGTCTTGGAGTAATTGATGTTAAACTACTTCCTACTTTCACAGGTTTCAGTTTTCTTGTCGAACTTCGGCTTTGGATAGTCCACTTTGCCCATGAAGAGTTGCAAAAGTTTATCTACGGATGTCCGATGCTCGAGTTGGTGCATATTCAAGACTCTATTGATCCAACTCGGTCTTTTAGTCTTGATATAGACGCGACTAATCTCAAAGTCATAAGGATTGGTAACGTTGGTTTCAAACCTATTTTCCAAGGTTTTAGTCGCCTTAATAACCTTTTTCTTCAGAGCGTCCAAATTAGTCCTCAAGAGTTGCAAAGTTTTGTTTCCAAATGTCAAATGCTTGAGTACTTGTTTATTAGCAAATGTTTTGAACAGACCACTGTTTGGTTCTTCGACATTGATGCTCCTAATCTCAGATCATTGTCTCTTAGACATTTTGATATCAAAATTTCCCCTACATTCAATGGCTTTAATAAGCTTTCCAAACTTGATCTTCGAAATCTCGGTATTGATCCTAAAGACTTGCAGCTGTTTATATCTAAGTGCCCCAGGCTTCATTCATTGACTATCCATAACTGCAATGGCAAAAACACAATTTGGTCCCTCGACATCGATGCTCCTAAACTTCAGATGTTGAATTTGGTGGGCTTGTTCAGCTCACTTTGTTTGAAATCACGATCTGTTGCAAAACTTGTTGTTGATTATCAGCATCATGACTTATTAAGCGAAGAAGACAATGATGATGGAGATTTTAGGTTTCCTGAGAAAATTGGAGATGGAAATAGCTTTATTAAGTTTTTCTATCAGTTTCCATTGCTTAAAAGACTCGAAGCTGGTATCTACTTTCTGCAGGTATAACAAGTGAAACTTTTAACTACATTGTATTTATTTACCTCAGCTGATTTGTAAGGTGTAAAACAATATGTAAGAATTCACCTTATGTATTTTTTTGGAAGTTTTTGGCTATCGGAGGCGTGCCACGGGTACTTCCGACCAAGCTTAAACATTTGGTAGAGATTAAACTTCACCAATTGGATTTTGGAGTCTTGGATCATGTCACTTGTGCTGTTTGCTTGTTGCGAAGCTCCCCTAACTTGTGCAGCCTTGACATTGCAGTGAGTATCAGATTGCAAGCAATAGTGTTTTTTTTTTTACCTTTAGGTTCTTGGTTTCACATTTCCATTCTCACTCTTTTCTTGTTATATATTTCAGTTTGAAAAAGCTAACTTAAACTGGTTGTGGAATACTCAAATAAGTGATTCTATGAAGACTGAAGAGAACAATAAAGTTGTGGAATATCTGAAGGCCGAACAGAAGAAAAATATTCAGCACACACACCTCAAGACCGTGAAGATTAAATCGTTTTCAGGTTTCAAAACTGAAGTGGAATTTGTGAAGCTTCTTCTGTTGAGGTGGGTTGAACTTGAAACAGTTCAAGTGTTTTCGGGTTCTCATGAGGAAGAAATAGAAATCGCAAGAAAAGAGTTGATGATTTTCCATCTCAAGGCATCTTCGAAGGCTAAATTTTCCATAGAAAAACTGAGTTGATAGAAAAGTTTGTTTCTGCCATGAACCAAACTTCTATTATGAATTCTTGCTTGTTGTTATGGATCTTTATATTATGTTGCATTTTGGAATATCCTCATCTTTTCCTCTAATATGTATGTCTATGACTTGCTCATCGTGATATAGTTTCATTTATACGAAAGGAATAGAAGTTCGATGTGAACATTGATGAAATTGTTACCTAAAATCATAATTATTGATATGGGTCATATCAATAGAAAATAGGAATTTTGTGTTACAATTGAAGCAGGAGTAATGTGGATTATTGAAAAATCGAATACGATTTGCTTTAGAAAAAGAAGATATCAATGAATTTCTATCAAACGGTTTCATAGGATTCAGCCTGTTGTCTTGATTGTGTGGTGTGGTTCAATTGAAGAACTTTTCTTCTCCTCTTTCTAAAAGGCAAGATCTTTTACTAGTAAGGATATTTATAAATAGTCCAACTTAAGCATTACTTTTTATCATATTCGAAACGATCATTTAATAAGTATATATTTTAAATATTAATGATAGACACTTGATTTGTCGCAATTTACTTATTCCACGTGGGTAAAAGTGATGCATCTCCAATAAAAATCTTCGATATTTAAAATGAGATCATTCTATATTTAAGGAAAAAAATCATCCATTTTGTCGTTTTTTCCTTCTTTTGTGGCATAAAAACAATAATCAATTAAGAAAAACAATTTATTGGAAACTCTCTTTTCTCGCACTCTCATGTTAGAATTGCTTCGAAAATCTAAGAGGAGAAAGAGAGATATGAGATCTTCAATAAGATTTTCAATCTAAAATATTTCAAAATGCTCGCAATATTGCGATCCTTTCTAAAATAATCCAATAAAAATCTAAAGCTACGGTTGGATAAAGGTTGATAAAAAAAATTAACTCTTCATAGTCTAATGTGAACAAGAATTAATGAAAACACAAGGGGTTAGTACAATTGTTAAATATGTGGTTGCTTCATGGTTATAATTGTTGTATATATCAAATATAATGACTAAGTAAATAATACAATAGTTGTTTACCATATTCGGTTTACCACAAGATTGAATTCGAGATTATTTTTCACAAATATAAATTTTGTGATGCAACATAAAAGTAGAACTAAAATCTTCGACAGAAAAATTGGCATAAAATTCCTACACACTAAAAAATTTAGTAATAGGAAATTTTTGTACTCCATACCAGCAGGAAATTGAAGTGCAATCTAAACATACTGAATTTCATCAAAATTTAAAGTTAAATGTATTTGAAATGATTAATCTCTTGAAAACTTACTGACAAAACTCGAAGACATTCAAAATTTGAACTTATAATTTTACAGTTAAATATTTGTTTTATTCGTTCCTTTTTGGCTTTGTGTGGCAATAATAGGAAGCTTTTACAGCTTTCAAAAAAAAAAAAAAAAAATAGATACAAAAAATTTAGGTACATCTGAACCCTCTAAAGTTAGTGCAATGATTAATCTCTCCGTTGGGTGAAAACCCAAAAAGACCTGAACAAATTTAATTGGAAAGACTGTCCTGTGCCTTGCCCTTATCAGAATTTATATACTCTCTCTCTCCGTCTCAAATACTTATGTTTCTTTTTGTCCCACATACCATTTTTTTTTAAAATGATTAGATTCTTTAATCTTATTTTAAATTTTTTAATTTTTTTTTTAATTTTAATTAAACTAATTAATTATTTTAATCTTAATTTATAATTATTTATATTATAAGATAATTATTTTTACTAATATATTTTTAATTATCTACTAATTATACCCTTTCTAAAATTAATTATTTATTAATTATACCCTTCTAAAACACGTATCTACGGTGTAACAGACCCGATATCCGGGAGGAGAGAGTATTTTTTTGTTTTGAACAGCAACTGCTAATAAGTCCAAATACATATTATCATCCATCCACAAATTTGTGATGTACAAACCCAAAAAAAAAACTGTACCTAAAAATAAAAGAATATATAATGTGTAAATATATATATATATCTAACTAAAAATAAAAGAATAACATCATAAAAAAAAAAAAAAAAAAAAAAAAACACCAAAAATACTTATAGAGAAAAAAAATTGGGCATCATATTAAGCTCCCATTTCTCACTCTATCTCTGTTTTAGGCTCGGCTGCGCCGCCGTCATCGCGGCATTCGAGCCTCCGTGTGGCGCCGTCGAGGAAAAGTCGATCGATTGGCGATTAACAATTGACGGTTAACGTTACTCGACCTGTTCGCCGATCAAGTCGAGGCCAACGAGCAAAAACGATACACCTTGAAAGAGCAGGAAGTAAAAATGGATACCCTGAGCCGAAAGCAAACTTCTAGCCGCGGCAGTCAGCAGAAGGAATGCGAGCGCGAGCTCCTTCGTGTATATCCGATTGTGTTTTTTCTTCTGAGCAGCCTTGTCCGCCATCTGTTTAATTTCCTCGCGCATTTCATCCAAATTAGGCTCCGAGCTGCCGCGGTGGTGCGTTGGGGGCTTCTCGACTAAAGCCGTCAGGTCGCCCTCGGAGGATCGGCCGGATTTTTTCGTGACGACCCACTCGTAAGCGCTTCCAAGCTGGAAAAGACCCGAAATCATCGCGTTGAACTTTGTGACCGACATCGTGTTCTCGAATAGAAGGTACGGAACGATGAACGGGAACGACTTCGGCGACGGGAGTATGTTGAGGAACGTAATCGTCGCCGGGACATAGCAGACGACCCACGACGGGAGAGTGGCTTCCGGGACGAACATCGTCGTCGGGAGAATGATGCAGAAGAGAGTGAAGGAGTAGAACGGGAGGACGAGCTTCCGTAACAGGAAGAAGAGGAAGATTAGATTCGCTTTCTTCCAAACGCCGATCTGCATTGATTCGATTAAATCGTGAGTTTGAATTATAAGAAATCGAGCGACGTTATACGATTCGGTTTTTCGGGGTCGAATACCTTCGACTTAACGATCGCCGGCAAGCAGAGACGGAACAGCTGCATCGGTCCCGAATGCCATCGGTGCTGTTGCTTCCGGTAGGCTTCGAAGGATTCCGGCAGCTCGCATTGACACTGAGAATATCGTATATATGAATTACGGATTTATCGAATAGATCGAAGCGTTTTTTTTATCGGTAATCGCAATAGCGGGAATTCGTACCTCGACGTCGTTGAGGAAAATGAATTTCCAGCCGTGAAGATGCGCGCGAACGGCGATGTCCATGTCTTCGACGGTTGTTCTCTCAAGCCATCCGCCGGAATCTTCTAGCGCCTTAATTCTCCAAACACCGGCCGTCCCGTTAAACCCGAAGAAGTTGAGGAAAACGCCGTTGACCTGCTGCTCGACCTCGAAATGAAACGCTAAATTGATGAGCTGTAGCCTAGTCAGCAGATTCTCGTCTTTGTTCACAAACGACCATCGCGCCTGAACCAATCCTAGATCGTTGTTATCCTTCGATCAAAAGCAAAAAAGAATAAGACACAAATAAGCCCAAACCATCCGAAAACAAACTCAACGATTCGAAAGAACAAATCGAGTTTGGATTGTTCGAAGATACCTTAAAGTGAGGGACGGTTAGTTTAAGAAAGTCGGGGTTAGGCTGGAAATCGGCGTCGAAAATGGCGACAAATTCGTAATCTTTAACGTAGCTACAGTTCATCGCAGACTTAAGGTTCCCTGCTTTATACCCTTCCCGAATCATTCGATGCCGGAAGATAATGTTGGCGCCGTTCTGCTGCCATTTGTGTACTTCTTCTCTGATAAGCTCCTGTGCCGTCGGGTCGTCGGAATCATCCAAAATTTGAATGAGCAACCTCCCTTTAGGCCAGTCCAAATTGCACACTGCTGCAATTGATTGTTGATAAACCTGTTCACAATTCAAAGCCAACAAAACACAACCACTCAATTAATTAACGAATAATCGAATCGAATCAATTAACGTAAATTCCGAAACCTCGAAGATCCAATACTAAATCTACATTCTAGCGAGCTGTTAACTCCAAACATTTAGCTCGGAAAAAAACAAAAAAAGACATATATGCTTATAAACTACTTGTGATTTGAAAACCGCGCAACCCTCCTTCGTATTTTCAAAAAACATTACAAAAATAAATAGCAACATCCGTTAAGTTTAGACATTTGCGGGATTCTGTGCAATATTTTTGAAATCACAAATAAATATTGCGCCGTTTCTAAACCACGAGGAGAATGGGATATACTTCTCAAATCACAAGTGAATTATAAGCAGGTTTGCCAGAGAACGAGTAACGTTAAAATTTGAGATTGCCTAACGACAAAATCCACGTCGTCCTCGACAAATTTACACGACCAATCAACAAACAATTTTGTGGCTTAACAAGATTATAAGATTAGATAAGCAAAACGAATATCGACATAACTATCTAACAATAAAGTAGTCCTATAGCTCAATTTGTGGGGCGCAAACAACAAACCAATCATATTACTTAACAAAATCGAGCAATCATTCGAAAAAAATAACCGTCAAACAAACAATTAAGCAACAACTATAAGAGTATAAGATCAGACAATATATCAAATACTTTATCAGCAGAACATAAAACTGTATAGATCAGCATAACTTATATCATCATCATTACCTTCATACTGAAACAACAATGGAGGATTGGGAATTAGGGTTAGGGTTAGGGTTAGGATCATGATTACCTCTTTTTCATTGCACATTGGGATCTGAACTAAAACCATAGGGAAATAACCATCTCCATCGCCAGATTCGAGATCAACAGGGCCTAGATTAGGGATTGGTTTGATGTTCCTAAGCTTGATCCATAAGCAACCCAAGCAGAGCACCAATCGATCGAAGCTCTGGACGAGGAACAGCACGATGCAAGCATTGGTAAGCAGCTGCAATGGCGGAGCGATATAATCGACTCGGAACGCAATCCATCCCGAATAAATCAAATTGAACAAATCCCTAACTGCAGAAGCGTCCGTCAGATGATAGAGACGATCAATCCGCAGATCGGGAGCTCGAAAATCCCATCCTCTAAAATACGCCACCATTTCGAAGCAGAGGAGGAGCAGAGACAGAAACAGGAACGCCTTAATACAGGCGTAGAATCTCGACTTTAAGACCGGATCCCCGTCGGTCCGGCCGGTGGCGACTCGGCGGCGGACGACCGCCGCGACGGAGAAGAATGCGGCGGCGAGAGAGGCGAGGCAGCCGGCGGCCTTATGCGCTTTCAGAAGTATGACCCAAGTGAGCTGCTTCGCGTTCTTATTGCGTCCCCCTTTAGGCGGAACGGCGTCGTTTTGGTAGATGAAATCGGGGGATTCGAGCTCCACCATGGACCAATTATTAGGGTTCTCCATTTTCACCACCACCGGCGTGCCACGGCGGCTCTCCGCCGCGGCCGCCCACCACTGCCAAGACGGAGCCATTGCCGAAATTCAGAAACTGTAGATTTCAAGAATCTTGGTTAAAATTAGAACTTCAATTTCCTTTTCTTGAGAGGGGAGGGGGGGTGGGGAAGAGAATTCGGAGATGCTACAAGAAGGTCATTTTGGGAGAGAGAGAGTGATCTGGGAGGAGAGAGATAGGAGGAAGTTATAACAGGGAAGAAGATGAAGAGGTGACTGTCTTGTATATAGATAGATACATACATTCATTTACAGCTTGCAGCAGGAAGGCAGCAGCAGTACTGTAGAGTGGATTTTGAATTTTGAAAATTGGAGGAGAGAGAGAGAGAAGGGAGGAGAGAGAGAGGGGGAAGTGGCAACAGCTCAACACGTCTTTGATGGATGTTATGTTTGGTTAGGTTTCAGACTCAAAAGAGGAATTGAAAATTGATGATATGGTTAGAAATGGCCTCCACCACCACAACCCTCCCTCTCCATCTCAACTCTCAAGGACAAATTTCTTTAATCTTTTGTCTTTTCTCTTACAAATCTAATAGGTATTAATATATAACAATTTTTTTATTTTTTTATTTTGGTCCGGGAATAAAGTATTTTTTTTTTTTTAACTAATGGTACTATATATCTAACGTTACAAAAAATATCCTTATAATTTATAATATATTACACAAATGTCGTTACTTTTATATCATATAATACTAATAGAGTTAATTTAGTCTTTTTACTTTTATTTTTACTTTATCCTAATATTAAATTAATATTTCTAAAACACCGTGCAAAAAACAAATTAATATATAGATATGGGACAAAAGGAGTATGCGTATTCGATTAGTTCACATTCAAAATATTATTTATACTCCTTCCGGCCGCCTCTAAGGTCACATTTACATTTTTAAAAATATCTTTATATTTATATAATTTTTTGTACAAATATCTTTTTATTAGTATTATAAGATACTACTTAAAATATATTTTTTTATTTCTTCATAATTTGTAGTATATTTTGATATAATAATGAATATTCAAAAAGTAACAAGCAAAAAATAAATAGGATTCTTAGAGAGAGACGAAAATACTATTAAATTAAAAAATAATATTTATTTTCATTAATTTATATTATATTTTGATATAATAGTGTCTCAGCTAATTTATTTATTTTAGTTGATGAACTGGAGTTTAAGATATTATATAATTAGTAAGAAACTAAGAAGAATATTAATAAAAATAATTATATATTAAGATTAAAATTATCAAATGGTTTAATTAAAATAAAATAATTATAAATTATAATTTTTAAAATATGATCAAAGTATTTAATTATATTTCTAAAAAAAATGACAAATTATATAGAACAGATAAAATAATTAATATTTAAAAATTAATATAAAAATTAAATGTACTAACATTTAGAGCGTGGACGTAAGTAATAATATTTATTAATTTATAAAAATATATAAGATGATTTTAAAAGGAAAATGAATAGTTTTGAAAAAATATATATTTATATATATATTCTGTATTAAAGTGATTTTTTGCATTAGAATTAATATTATATGAACTATTATAATTCATATATTGTATTTTTATTATATTATTACATTTTATAGTATATTATATGTGTATATTTCATATGTATTGTTAATAGCATCTAAAATTAATATTGTGAAAGGCATTCAAGAAAAGGGAGTTTTGTGGTCAAAGTGGCCATGGAAACCTACAAAAATATCAATCGGTCAATAATGGTTGATGAGTATAAAGAGGAATTTTTGTGGGAATATAACATTCTAAAACAAACTTTATATATATATATATTAAATATTATTATTAAAAAATTAATTATAACATCATATCAAATATTATTATTTCTATTTCAATGTTTACAACTATAAAACAACAAATTAAACCCAAATCCAGCAACACGCTATTTATAAAAATACAGAGAATTAAGACATGAAAAGTCAAAGAGATACATTGAAACCAAAACGTGTTTAACTTTTAAAATTAATTTTTCTTACTATATATTTGAACAGTTTTTTAATAATTGTATTTTTTTATTTTTTTTTTGTTATAAATTGATAATTTTGTCCTTAACTGTATTGTAGAAATTAAAGTAATAAATGAATGAAATGTAAAAATATAAAATTTATTATTAAAAAATAAAATAGAATAATAATTGTTTGACCTCCCAAATAAAAAAAATAGGACATTAATTTTGTGGTATGGGGGAATATAATTTAATTAATAATAGTAAAAAGAAATGCTATTTTCAATTATAAAAAATTGAAATCCAAAAGCATTGAAAATATCTCAATTACATATAAACACGCCATAATAATTATTACTATGACATTTATTGTTAGATTTTTACCTTTAAGGAAAGCCAAGAAATAAGAAATAGGAGATGTTTTTTTTTCTTTTTTTATTTCTTTTTTTTTTGAAGATTTTTTTTAATTTGTTTATTGTACTCCCGTCGTTCAATAAATATTTTTTATATTTTGAATTTTATTAAAATATAGTAAAAAATTATAACAAAAGAATTGAATATAACGACAAAAGAAAGAGAAAAAAAAATTTAATCTTTATTTTTTTTTTAATTTGATTTCAATTTGTATATTGCTAGTGTATTTATTTTGTGACATTATTTGAAATAATATTTTTATATAAAATATAAAAAATTATTTAAATAATATAAAAATAATAAATATACGTAATTTATTAATTTAAAAAAATATATGAAAAAAAAAGGAACACAAGCTACTTAACTCTTACGAGTCTTTTACAATTATATTTATACAATAAAATATTATACTTAAATTATTATTCAAATTTAAAAATAGTACTATAATCTAACTTTAAAAATAAATGTTTTAGTGTTTCGAATTATTATTCCCTTCGTCTCATATAATATCGACATATTATTATAGACACGGAAATTTAGGTAAAGTGTAATTAATAAATAATTAAAAAATGTATTGATAAAAATAATTATAAATTAATATTAAAATAATTAAATAGTTTAATTAAAATTTAAAAAGTTATAAAATATAAAATTTAAAATGTGATTAAAGTGTCTAATTAAAAAAATAACAAATTATGTAGAACGGACGAAAATAAAAAATAAGAACAAATTATATGAGACAGAGGAAGTATAAATAACTTTAAAATTATTTGAAAATAAATTTAAATTTGTTACTTTAAACAAATACTCTCTCCGTCCCATCGGAATTGAATCACTTGATTAGGGACAAGGTATTTAAAGTGAGAATGTTTAATTAGTTAATAATAATTAGTTATGATATTATTATATTATTTTTTGTATAATTAATAATATTTACAATTTTAAAGTAAATTTAATATATATGACTAAAAAATTAAAATATATATTTAAATATTTAAAAATTATATAGCAATTAAAAAATATATGCAATATGAATATCATTTTATAGAGAATAAAATCTTCTATAATACAAGTAAATAAAAAAATTATTTTTGTTTATTTACAATTAATATAAATCAATTTTATAAAAGATATATAATTTTAAATATAGATAAAAATATTTATTTTTTTGAGGAGAGATGTAGAAATAAAGGTCATATGTTATTTATGATGTTGTATGTTATGTAGTTAATTAAGTTGATTTATATTTGTTAAATATGTTTTGGTTTAATAATTTTTACCAAAAATAGAAAGGTATCAATTGTTACGGGACAGATAAAAATAAAAATAGTATCAATTGTTGTGCGACGGAAGTAGTATATTTTTAAATAATTATTTAGTATTAAAAAATAAAGTGAGGGTATGCATGCACAACATAAATGGTCGAAAAAGTCCTCGCACCGACAGAGTTCGTTGGCGTAGTGGAATGTCCAATTTAGTAAATTCCTAGGTAGACGGGAACGGATAAAGTGACAGCTCTTGCACCCATCACCTGCAGCTTCATTGTACCTTCCGTCTCACTGTCACTCTTTTCTTTTTTCGATTAAAAAAAAGGGGGAATATTTTAATAAAATAATTATTGTTAGCATTTATTATATCAGTAATTTGTTTTATTTTATTTTTATTTTATTTTATCAGTAATTAGTTAATAACACAGGGAGTGTGCTGTGTTTAAATAATTATTTGACATAATGTGAAATATATATATATATATATTAATCTTTACGTTAGCCGTAAATGAGTATAATTTTCTTATATTTATATTTTATAATTTTTTTTTTATAAATATCTTTTTATTAGTATTACACGACAAAGTATTTTTGTAATTCTTATTTAATTTATACTAAAATTTGAAATAATAACTAGTATTCAAATATCAATATAAAAAAGTAAATGAGATCTTTAGACCAAATAGAAGTATATTTTTAATAAAAATATACTCCCTACATCCCTAATATGATGTTACGAGTTACCGTAGACACACTAATTTAAAAAGAATATAATTAATAAATAATTAAAAATATTTTAGTAAAATTAATTATAATATAATATAAATAATTATAAATTAAAATGAAAATAACTTGTTAATCTAATAAAAATTATAAAATTTAAAATATAATTAAAATATAAATATATTTCCAAAACAAAATGACATAATATGTGAAACTTAAAAAAAAATATATATAGAGTTGCAATATTAGTATTCTCGGAGTATTACATAAAAAAAATAATAATAATAATTTTACATTCAGAACATAGTATAATCACTTATTTATATTATATCATATCATACAACTATTCAATTTTTTTTTAATATTCAAAACTTAAACTCAAAATTCAAACAGTCAACAAACACACTTCTGAAAATAAAATTTATATACATATAGATATTTTATCCAGTCTCAATTTAAAGTATTCGTGTTACCATTTTCGTACGTGACACTCAAAATTATCTATTTTATATTTTAATAAAAATAATTATATATTAATACCAAAATATTATTAATTTTATTTATGTTAAAAATTTTGGGAAAAAATAATAAGATTGTCTTATTGATCATCAAAATAAAAGGCCTAAATATAGACAATACAAAACAGATTCGATAGACTCAAATCTAAGTAATTTAATCTACAGATAAGACCAAATCTAAATATAATTATATTAAATCTAAAACGAAATATCTAAAATATCTCAACAATTTAAATTATAAATATATCATTACACATAATTATTTTACAAAACAAAAATATCAAAACTTCTTATACACTTCAAATAGCAATCCAATTACTTCTCTCTAATAATGTATTTTTCAAAAATAAAATAAAATTAATTACTCTAAAATATTTACTATGTTTTATTTCAAATATTAAATAAAAATAATTAATTTATATTCAAAATTCCACGATAAACTACTTTACATAGGATTCAAATAATAATTTAAATTAAATATTGCAAAAAATAATTCAAAAACATGAAACGTGGTACAATCATATGCATCCACGTGTCGCATTAAAAGTGTCCCGCCGGAGTTGCCGGCGGTGGCGGCTGCATCCAGCACGTTCTCCAGCACCGCTGCCGAGGTGCCATTGGACACAATAAGACATATAGACTTATAAAATAAATATAAATAAATAAATGATGTCAAGAAGAGGATTTAATATAATAAAAATTAGTTAATTAATTAATTAATTGGTCAAGAAATATTTTATAAATGAATAAACAAATAATAAAAGGGTAAATTATTGGCAATGAAGCACTTGAATATAATCACTGACCAAATTTCAATACTTCAATAATTATATTGTGTAACATGAATAAGGATTCGCCACCTCTTCATTTTTCTACATATTTCTTGGTTATATTTAATCACAAATATAGTCAAATGGTTTTTTAATTTTTATTGCTTTATGTTTTCAAATTACATGTTGTAACACATGAGTATGTTTGATTTGTGTCTCTATAAATTAACCTGAAATTTGATGAGTAAGGTACAAAATTGCATAATAATGAAATAAAAAGATTCCTTAAAAAAAACAATCTAACAATCCAAAAATACAAAACTATGCTTACTTATATTTTTCAAAAACTATTTTCACACTATCCATTACAATTTCTATGTAAAAAATATCAAATTCATAACCAAAATATTCATTTAAAATATTATACTCCCCATGTCTGACTCCAAATATTTTATTTACATTTCGTGTTTTCGTATAATAATTATCATTCAAAGATCAACACGTAAAAAATAAATGAGACCCTTAGAACCGGACGAATGTATTATCAAAATATTATTATATATTCATATTATTACAATTTGTTTGCCCTACTTTTTTTTTTATACAATTTTCAAAAATTTACTATTTAAAATACAAACCTCCAAACAATCACCCTTATTTTTATTTTATTTTTGTTTTCTTCGGTAAAATTGGACTTCTTCTGGAAAACAAACAAACAAAAATTATGCCCATATATTACTCATATATCCCATAAAGAATGACCAGATGGTGTAAAATTAACTCATAACTTAACTTCAAAATTTCGACACCTCCAGATCTTTCATGATACAAAAAATAAATAAATAAAAATTAAACACATTCGTGTAAACCTACAATTTTGTATTTGTATTCAGATCCATTATGTGTTGATTATGACTAATCAATCCCCCGTATATATATATTAGGTCTAATTAGCACATATGTGTAGGCAACAAATTAATGCTAATTGGCACACGGTAATAGTGTATACATATATATGATGATGATAAAGATAGTAGGGCCAGGTTGATTGGAGAATTGGGTTTTTCCAACTCAAATGTGTTAGGTGACATCAAAGTAGAGGGGCATAGATGATCAATGATTAGATTTAAGTTACACAAATTTTACAAACAAACAAAAAAACAGAACCCCAAATACAACAAATTAAAGGATGCAGAAATGGAGGGATGATTATTTGGTCAAAGATAATTTAAAACTAGACATGTAAAAATTTAATAATATATAGATATAAACATATGATGAGATCATGATTCTTGATAATTAATCAATTAATTAAAAATGATGATTAGTGAAAGATAGAGACGCACTAATCACAATGATTATGAATAATTAAAAAAGAAAGCAAAGGGCACAACACAACTCTAATAGGGTTTATTTCAGGCAAGCACTATTACTGCTACACATTATCTTAATGGTTTTTGGCTATGGCGTTAGGTGTGATGTTTCAATCCCAACTGCATATGCAGACATGTCTTCTGATGTGTTCCTAAGGCAATTTAAGTGTAATAAAGATGTCTCATGCTTTGGCCATGTTTTTATTTATTATACATACATACATATTTATATATAGAGAGAGAGGAAATTCTACTAAAGCAATGCCAACTTTGGTGTCCTAATTATTATTAACGGGCGGCAGGTGATACTGATTAACCCTAATCAACACATCAAATATTATTTAACTCTACATATATATATACAGAGAGAGAGAGAATTCTACTAAAGCAATGCCAACTTTGATGTCCTAATTATTATTTTGAGTCGGGTGATACTGATTAGCTCTAATCAACACATCAAATATAATCCGACTCCACATGCTAATAATCCATTTTATATAAATGTCTTATTAATATATCAATTGTAGCATATAATACGTGAGTTATTCTCGTATATTTATTTATACTATATTAACATTTATTTTTTACTATCTATTTATATTTCACGTACCGTCAATATATATGTTTTATTATATCCACATAAAAAAAGGTTGTGATCTTTCCTGCCATAAAAAAGAAAAAAAAAAAAATAGTGCTTCTAAAAATATTGCCTAACAAATAAATATCACGCAATAAAAATCAACAATTCAAATACAATAAAATATCATTTCTTATAACGCCATCACAGTATACCATACCTAACAATGAAATCCTGTATCTGACAATAAAAAAATATTTAGAACCATAAATACTAAACCAACAAAACGGAGGAACATGAAAAGGATATTAAAAGATGAAAAACATGTCCTGAAGGAAGTTTGTGGAATTGTCAAATGAACTTTTTCCTATTTTCAGCTGAAGAAAAAATGTGCACTTTTTTGCTGTTGCACATTGATGAGGAAAACAAGAAAGAGTGGGTGCTTTGATTGCGGAATCACGTTCATATCTACCAACAAATTTATTATATATATATATATATATAAAACAAAAGTCAATAGTAAGAAAAAAGAAAAAAAAAAAAAATCAATTTTTGCCCATATTCTACTGTAAAGTGCAGCAAAATTGTGTCCTGGCCCATATTCAAGAAAAGTGCAGATGTAACCATGTAGATCAGAATTGTTTATAGGATTGAACAGGGAAAAAGCCCATTTGCTTTAGTTTTAGACAAACAAATAACTGGTTAAGGATTTGTAACAACAAAGATTGGAAAAGAAAAGTAGATCCAAGTCCCAATCATAATTACATATCTTGAAAAAAATTTCTTGTTTGGCCCAAAGATATTTTGGTGGTGTATTTCAAACTCCAGAGCCTATTCTCAAAAAATAAAAAATTACTTTAGGTACTATTCATCTACATAACATTTTAAAAATATCATATCAAACACTTTTTCTCCTCTCAAAAACATCAAATTAAATACTCAATTTCTTACTATTACATACAATCTTCAAAACTCCAAAAGATAGTTTAGCTAAATGGGGTATAAGAAGGGATGGAATACTTGCACAAGAATCTCTACTCGTCGTTATTTCGTACATATTTATATCATATCAAACTAACTATTATAATTCAAAATTCGAACTCAAATATCAAATAGAACGTCTATGTTTTATTTTTATTTTTTTTATATTATACTTAAAAACTAATTTTACAATCAAATTATAACATTATTTATTTATATTACACCATATAACTAATTTCAATTCAAATTTTTAATTATTTAAAAACCAAACCCAAAGCCCCAAACAAACAACATCGCATATCTGAGTGGAGCATAAGGCTTTCATTTACATACTAAGAGATAAAAAAGTAGCATACTTACTTAAACATATATATTACAACTACAACAACAACAACAAGGGATGGAAATGGTTTAGCTAAAATGTACCTGGTACCTGGTGTTCATCATCTCCTTTTTCGTTTCAGCTTCTTGTTGGGCTGATCCCTACCCTTTACCGAAGAGGTTCTTTCTTTGCCACTTACATAAGAACTCCATAAAGCCCTTTCAACATCTGATGCTGTGAATACATCCTCAGGAGTCGACAACTCCTGAAAAGAACAAATGTATTGCAAGAAGAAACAATTACAATGTAGACCACTACACTTCTTGGAAATTATGTGCGTTTAATATAGAAAAATGAGGCTAGAAAAATAAAAAATATGTCCATTCCCTTGTTTGTTTGAGTCACACAAATTTAATTTGAGAAATGAATTATTCCTCATTTTCTGTTTTCATTTCTCTACCGTGACAATCTATTGTTCAAGTTTTAAGACTATCTATGAAAAATAGATTATTTTCTCTAATAAAACAACACATCCAAATTATTATTCAAACTAAAAATAAAAAATAAAAATCACCAACAATATTTCTCCCGAGATTCCAACTCTACTCAAATCCTTTCTCATTTGATTCATTGCCCATCCTCTCTTCTTTACATTCCACTAAAAAGCAATACTTAGTCTGCTCTAAATCAATTTGTAAAGCATTTCTATCTACATTTCTTAGTTGAATTATTTGTTTTGACGAACAAAAGAATCAATTCTCTTTCTCTACTGCATTCTATTTCTCGATAATTCTATTCTCTATGATCATTTCTATTCAATTTCATTCGCTCTACCAACAGCGCTTTTTAATAAATTACAAAAGCATTCAAGCTACAAGGTCACATAAATCCCCAAAATAGTATCTACCTTTGCCTTGGCCTGCAGTTTCTCCGCAAAGATCATATACCGCTTCAATGAATAATCCTTCGAATCACCAATCACAGAAACCATCGCCTGATTCCAAAACAAGATTCAACAACAAACACAAATCCCAAATCAATTCCAAGAAATTCATCACAATCACCAAATCAAGAACGAACCAGATACTAATAAACAACTCGATAACTAATTTTCCATTTTCCAATCTCCCAAAACAAACAATCATGAAATCCCAAATCAACAACAAACACAAATCCCAAATCAATACCAAGAAATTCACCACAATCACCAAATCAAGAACGAACCAGACATTAATTAACAACTCGATAGCTAATTTTCCATTTTCCAATCTCCCAAAACAACAACCATAAAATTCTGCACAGTCTCTGAACAATTACCTCATCGGACATAAACGGCGCGACCTCCGGCGCATAGGCGGCGAGGACGGCGGAGGCGGTGGCGGGCCCCACTCCTTTCAAAACAGTTAGTTCCGAGACGGCCTTCGAAATATCGGGCAAGGAAGCGAACGCCTTCCCCGAAGCCTCCTTCACGACGGCGTCGTTTAGGGAGGAGACGAAGGATAGCAAGCGCGGCCGCCATTTTCCGCGGGAGAGCTTCCACTCCATGAGCCTGGCGAGCTCGTCCTTAGCGATGTAGGGATTAGGGTTTCGGTGGTGCAGGAGGTTTGGGAGCTCGTTACGGTAGAACTCGTCCAGCGATATTAGGTTGGGCTTTCCCAGGGTCTCCAGTACGGATTCGTAGGATGCCAGAGCCTCTCTCCAAAGAGCGGCGTCGCTGGACTCGAAGTTCATCTGCCCCGGTACGGCGGCGGCGGCGGCGACGGTTGGGGTTGGAAACTGCAGTTGGCGGGCTTCCACTTTGAAATGGCTATGTCTGAAATAGGATTATTGAATTCGTTTTTTGGTTTGTGTTTAGTGCATAGGGTTAAATAATACTCCTGCAACAAAAGATGTGTGTTATTCGCCGCAAAAAATTAAGAAATAATAGTATTTAATTGAAAGTTGATATAAAATAAAAAATAAAAATTTAAAATACTTTATTTTTTGAATAATTTTAAAATGTAAATTCAAAAAATAATTAAGAGTAAACAACTCTATTTGAGAGCGAGGGAATATTTTATAAGTTAAATATTTTTTTTATTTAATCATAAAAATAATAAAAATATTTAAAAATTTAACCATTTGAATTTTAATATTGAGTGTACATACACGTATATATGTATTCACTTTATATATATATATATGTATATATACGTACACTCAACTAATAATGATGCAGATAAAGTTGAAATTTTTTTTTTTTTTTTTTTATGCTGTTGGGATTAGATCACCAATTGCATATAAAGTTGAAAGTTTTTTTTTTTTGTTTATGCCGTTGAGATTAGATCACCAGTTGCATCATCACCTATCGGGGTATATAGGTTGAGACGTATATATGTATAAAATACATATGTGTGTATTTATACACCAAACTAATGATTATGCAAATATTGTTGAGTCTTTTGATGCCATTGATCACATATCAACAATCTCATCTCCACCTCAGCTTCATCTTCATCATCACCTGTTGGGATATTCATATGCACGTGTATGCACCGTGAGGTCATAGATTCAAACCTTGACGCTTTCAGGTTCACTTATCACACATAGTTCATCTAGTGTGATTTAGTTTTGTCGAATCTAGTCCGTAGAGTATTAGATTCGATTAAAAGTTTACCTACAGCGTACCTTCGGGTAGCGACTGCGAATTCCTACATTATAAAAAAAAAAAAAAAAAAAAACCACACACACACGGGTATATATGCATCTAATGGGTGATGATGCAGATACGATTAGAAGTTTTTGATGCTACCGATCCAATCATGCTTTGGAATAAAAAATAGCCTCAACCCACCCAGCCTCGTCTGTGCATCATTATCAATTTGGTGTATATATATACACACGTGTGAATATATACACTTGAACCTTTTGATATTGCTGACCTGATCTCGCTTTGGTGCCCACCCTCACCACAACCCTATGGGGTGTAATATATACACACGTATGTATGTGTAAAGTATGCATGTATGTATATATAAATTGAATGTGTGATGATCCTTTTGATATTGCTGATCTGATCTCATTATGGGATCAAATAAGCAACGCCACCCCACCCTCACCCGCTCCATCTACATCATTGAATGTATGTACGTATGTAAAATTATAAAGTACACACGTGTATATGTATAAAGTACTACTCAAAACATGCTACATTTCAATAAAACTGTGCATAACACACGTATCGGCTAGTATATTAATAAATAAATTACTATATATATTAATTATAAAATTAAAATGTATAATGGAGTGTGCTATCGATAAAACAAGAATTCTCAACATATATGTAACAAGCCAAAGCTGCTTCGTAATTCTACACAAATGCCAAACGCCAGAATAATTATCCCTTTGTTCCTAAGTTAACATGTCTCAAAATCATGAAGGTGTGAGCAAATAACCTCTTTTTAGGACAATGATTCTAATCATCAGTTTTAGCTATGGCGGTGGCAACGGCATCTTCGGACGAGGAGTTTTCTTCCTCAAGTTTCGGTAAATTTTTCCAATTCCACAGGAGTTGCATCAATCCACCATTTCCGACGTGTAAGACCAAATCATTGGCTCTCAAAACATAAAAGGAGAAAGCTTTCACAAGAACAAAGAAGCAAGATAATCCAACAAGTTTCCAAGTGAAGGCGTTGTCGCCCTGTAAAACATAAATCAACAGCACAATATTTGTATTAATTTAATAAAAATATAACACATGAACTGACGGCTCATAAAAATAGTCTACATAATTATTTGATTTCAACATAAGATATATAATCGACGGCATATACTTACCACGGGTTTTTACTATTCAGATTCTTTTTTCTCTAAAAAAAAAATATCACATCAAACAATTATTTTTTTTTATATTATACTACAAATTTATTTTACATTCAAAATATCACACCAACCTCTATTTATATCACATCAAACAACTATTCACATTCAATTTTTTACTATTCAAAAATCCAAATCCAAAAACTAAAATCCACAAACAAACACACGCATAATGTCTGCCTATTTTTTACATGTTGATCAATCCCAATTATAAATTAGGAAAAGTGAGCAACCAATATTTTACCTTGTAGTTGCTCATGACTTCCTTCGATATGTCATCGAAATAATTGGCCATAACACATCCAATAATAAGGCCGAGAGGAATCATCAAATCTTTGTTTCCAGAGAGAGAGTATACGATGTCGGATGGGCAACTAAGAGCAAAGTATGCCAGCAAAGTCCATTTCAGTGTCTTCTTGCCTAAAGCCTGTAAGTCGCGCAAGGCCACATTCGTTGCGTTCTTCCATGGAAATTGTTTAACTGAACCAGGGACGAATTCCCATAATTTATCCTTGGTATAATTCAAGAAAGTTACAAACTTAGTAGAATCCGGAAAGTGTTCCATTCTTGGGAACTTTGCAAAGCACGCAACAGAAAGATGTTTTCGGTGGACATTGATCAGGAAGGAACCGTCAGGTCGACATAATCTCTGTTTGAATGGTGCAATCTGCTCAATATGGAGGAGCCAAGTCAGAGTGCCGCCATTTCCAAACCTTGAAGTTTTAATATCAATTTGAATATCCAGCAGAGAACCATAAATCTAGTTGCAGAATTGCCTCCTCGAATTTAAAAAAACTAAAAATGTAAACCAGCAGTTAACATCTCAAGCATCTAATGTTGTGTTTGCTTGTGGTTTTTTGACAAAATTTTTCCTATCCATTAAGCTTTTCCACTAAAAACATCAAATCAAACTCATATTTTTTTATTTCCATAATACAGAAAATCAATTTTTCATTCAAAAGATAACATATATCACATCAAATGGCTATTCCAATTCAAAATTTACTATTTAAAACTCCAAAATCCCACAAACAAACACACAATCTTCAACCAGATTACGAATCTCCAAAATACAAATAGATGAAATTATCTACCATCATTCAATCTCAGAGGCAGATTAAACAGCATCGTCAAAGACAAATATTTAGCAGGTTTCTAGTGATGAGTGCCGTATATTAACTATAGTAACTATTAGTGTAATAGATCGCCGTCATTGCCGTTGCTATCATATATTAACAAGAACAGAGGATTTCTACAGACTTCAACTTAACTAGTAGCTGGAGATGCAAGTATATGCTTATGCCTTGTGCGCCGTAATATATAAATTAGTTATTACATCACACATGCCTCGATCCACATTTATTGACAGAAATAAAGAAATTGAGAACATCAAAAAGTCACAATTTCCATGTTTTTTTTCCTATCCATATTGAAGATTTCCAATGCTAAGTAATTGATACAAATCAAACCCTAAATAACAGGGAATAAATTCCAATAGCAACCACTTAGGGCTTTGAGGTTTTTCAATTATCAATCAATCAAATTCTTCATATTTAGCATTGAATTATGAAAAGGATTCTGAGTATTACTTCAAATCGTTGTAACTAAATTCCTGGATCTTCCTATAACATTCAATTCAATATGAAACAGAAATCAATCATCTTCCATTACATTTCTATGTTTCGGAAATTCAGCATAGTCACAATCACGCAAGTATTGCAGCAGAATAGTTCTTAAAACATGAAAAACTTCGGTTCAAACTGCTTTATGTTCTTCATTATCGTAAAATGGACTCGATACATGAAAATCACGCCCTTTCTTCTTTCTAACAAGCGCAAAGAGGTATCGTTCAAGTACGTTCATAAAATTCAAAATTACGAATGATAGATAGTTGAAGCAGCTCTGGAGAAAGTAGACTCACCGGAAAACGTGAAGCGGTGAGCGCCGTAGCCGCCGGAAACGCCATTTTTACCTCCGTATAACTCCGGCTGCGGCAGTACGGACCAATTCGCCACCGAAGGGCAACTACTGCTTCTCGATTTATCGCTATAAATACCCGAATCCGGAAACGGTATGGATCCAGTCTGGATTTGACCCGATTCATTTCGGGTACAAATTGAACATTATAGTTGACCCGAAATTATTATTATTATTGAGTAGGACATCAATATACTTGTCTACTTCTATCATTATTGAAGAGTATAATTTTGAAATTATTTCACATTAAATTAACATCATTTACTTCATGAAAACAATCTACAAACACTAATAGTTGTTTCTTCGTGCCTTTTAATTTTTGGGTTTAGATTTTTTTTAATAATTATTTGATATAATATAAATTTGTGGATTCACGTGATGTTTTAAATGTAAAATACATTTATATAATATAATATATATAAAAAATAATAATAATTTTTAATCCGATGGTTTTGGAAGAAAAGAAAAGTCTTAATAGTAAAAATGGTAAAACCATGAACAACCACAACCTTAATTGATTTCCCATGAAGTTTAATTTTGTTATGAAATTAGTTTAAATAATATTTTATTTTCGAAAAATAAATAGAATTAATTATCAATTTTTTATTCTAAAATTTATCAAATTAAATATATTTTTTTATTTAAATATACTATTCTTCGATTCACAAAATATATATATTTATTTCTATTTTGAATTGTTTATTATTATAAAGTAATTATTTAAAAATATCTCATTTCTTTTTTAAATATCTTTTACTTTTTTATAACATCATTTATACCAAAAAAAACAAATATTACATTATTTTTAACAATCTATTACCTTAAGGGTGTGTTTGTTTAGGAGTTTGGATTTTGAGTCGAAATTTGAATAGTAAAAATTTTGAATTTGAATAGTTATATGATGTGATATAAATGGGTGTTGATGTGATGTTTTGAATGTAAAATTAATTTTTATTATAATATAAAAAATAAAAAATAGATGTTTGATTTGATATTTTTTTTTAAAAAAAAATAAATGAACAGTTGATTTAAAATTCACTCCCTCAAACAAACACACCCTAAAGATATTATTACACTTTTAATTCTCCCCCAAAAGTAAAACCTAGATTTTCAAATTGTACGAAGATAATATTTAATTATAAAAATTTTTGTTTAAAATATTATGTGTTTGTCTAGTATTAAACATAGTATTTTAGTTTAAAATATTTTTTTTTTTTATAATAGATAAGATAACTCCTATAAGTAATACTCCATAAAAAAATAATACAGAGTATTTAATAAAGAAATCAATAATTGTTCGGTTGAAATAAAAAATAATCAATTTTGATGCTCCAAATAATTCATTATACTATATTTTTATTTTTAATATAAATTCATTTGTTAATATATTTATAAAATTATTTTTTAAAATTTTATTTAATTTTTAAAATCGAGTCTTGGTCCAGTTCATAATCGTGCCTGACAATTACGACTATTTTTTTTTAGGTTCAATCACGATTTTGAATCAGATTTTCTAGAAGTATATTTTCTTGCAAGTCATACATTCGCTCTTTCAATTTACTTCATACGGAGTCCGTGGGGTATTTATCTTCTCGACTTTGCCTGCTACAAATTTGATGAAGATCTTAAGGTATGGAGTTCAAATCAATTTTGAGATGATCGATTGAGTGGTTTAATCGACGAATCATTGATGAGATTTTGTGTTTTTGATGCATAACGAAGGTGAGTAAAGATTTTGTGTTTTTGATGCATAATGAAGGCGAGTAAAGAGCAGTTCATCGAACTCGCTCGGAAGTCCGACAAATTTGATGAAGCAAGCTTCGATTTTTATTGTCGAATAAGAAATTAAACCTACCTACCTAAATTGTCCGAGGATCCGCCCCGCCTCACCCTGCTCCGCTCCAGAGTCAATCTGAAAAACTCATTTTTTAAAATAAAATATAATTATTTTAATAATTTAATAATAAAAAAGTAAGTATTAAATCCTAAAAATTTTAATTATAAAAATAAGAACAATCAAATATTTGTCGCCTCGCCCCGCCCCGCTTCAGGGTCAATCCGGAAAACTCATTTTGTTAAATAAAACATAATTATTTTAATAATTTAATAATAAAAATATAAGTGTTAAATCCTAAAAATTTTAATTATGAAAACAAGAACAATCAAATATTTGTGATAGTTCGCAGTGATGACGGTTAGGCAGACAAGGTAAAATTTTACAATAACAATTAAATATTGACAGTTGTCCACATTCACGAAGATCGACAGCTGGTGAGGCGACAACATTGTGAGAAGAATTGACGAGGAAGAAACAAACGCCAAAGACAAAATTGATTTAGAAATTACAGTTCTGTTTTATATTTAAATTGTTTTAAATAAATATGTAATATAATTTATATTATATAAATATATATATTAATTCTAATAATCATTAAAATATCTGGGTTTGAATCCAAGTGCGGAACAGATTTTTAGTAAAACTTGTAATCTGCCTCCAACTCGGCTGAATTTAAAATTTAAAATTAAAAATCCCTAAGCATATTTTTCAGACCTGAACTCGCTCCATCCGGGGCTAACCCACCCCGTTTAACATCCTTAATTTTGATATTTTATCAATAATAAATTTTGATTAAAAATAATTATTTAATATAATATTTAAAATAAAAAATAATAATAATTTTGAGTAGAATATATTTGTCCCTTCAAAATATATATTGTTGTGTTTTCTTTATTTGAAGTCGTCATAAATATATTTATATTTCATAGATAATATTCTTACAATTCACTGGTATTTTAGATGCACGTTGCGGCAAAAAATCACGAACGACGATCTTCTCCGTCGTTTACGAACCCGTCGTCCAGTCGTATATTGCAAACGAGGATTCTCGCAGGGACCCCGACGGACCCGCGTCATCGCGAGAAGTCTAACAAGCGTTATCGTTTAAAGAAAAGAGAAGTCGTAACAAGGATTTTATTAGTGAACCTGCGAAAGGATCATTGTCGATGTCTGCCCTGGCAGACCACAGCAAACTCGTGACCCTATGTACGAATGCCGCATAGCCGTCCATCGAGAAAGAGTGGGCGTCCCAAAAAATTCCTGTACGAATTTTCGTGAATATGTAGTTATCAAAAAAAGATTTGCTGCGATGCACGTCGCGGCAAAAAATTACGAACGACGACCTTCTCCGCCGTTCACGGACCCGTCGTCCAGCCGTATATTGCGAATGAGGATTCGCGCACGGACGCCGACGGACCAGCGTCATCGCGAGAAGTCCAATAAAAGTTATCGTTTCGAGAAAAAAGAACACGTAACAATGATTCTATAGGTGAACCAGCGAAAGGATCATTGTCGATGTCTGCCCATGCACACAGCAGCGAACTCGTGACCCCATGTACGAATGCCGCACAGCCGTCCATTGAGACAGAGTGGGCGTCCCGAAAAACTCCTGCACGGATTTTCGTGAATATGTAGTCATCAAAAAGGGATTTCCAGCGATGCATGTCGCGGCCAAAAATCGCGAACGACGACCTTGTCCGCCGTTCACGGACCCGTCGTCCAGCCGTATATTGCGACCGAGGATTCGCGCACGGGCGCCGACGGACCAGCGTCATCGCGAGAAGTCCAACAAGTGTTATTGTTTTGAGAAAAGAAAACTCGTAACAAGGATTCTATAGGTAACCTGCGAAGGGATCATTGTCAATGCCTGCCCCGGCAGACCGAAGCGAACTCGTGACCCCACGTACGAATGCCGCACAGCCGCCCATCGAGAAAGAGTGGGCGTCCCAAAAAACTCCTGCACGAATTTTCGTGAATATGTAGTCATCAAAAGGGGATTTCCTGCGATCCACGTTGCGGCCAAAAATCGCGAACGACGACCTTCTCCGCCGTTCACGGACCCGTCGTCCAGCTGTATATTGCGAACGAGGATTCGCGCACGGCCGCCGACGGACCAGCGTCATCGCGAGAAGTCCAACAAGCGTTATCGTTACGAGAAAAGAGAACTCGTAACAAGGATTCTATAGGTCAACCTGCGAAAGGATCATTGTCGATGCTGCCCCGGCAGACCGCAGCGAACTCGTGACCCCACGTACGAATGCCGCACAGCCGTCCATCGAGACAGAGTGGGCGTCCCGAAAAACTCATGAACGGATTTTCGTGAATATGTAGTCATCATAAAGGGATTTCTTGCAATGCACGTTGCAGCCAAAAATCGCGAACGACGACCTTCTCCGCCGTTCACGGACCCGTCGTCCAGCCGTATATTGCGAACGAGAATTCGCGCAGCGACGCTGACCGACCCGCGTCATCGCGAGAAGTCCAACAAGCGTTATCGTTTAGAGAAAAGAGAAGTCGTAACGAGAATTTTATAGGTGAACCTGCGAAAGGATCATTGTCGATGTCTACCACGGAAGATCGCAGCGAACTCGTGACCCCATGTACGAATGCCGCACAGCCGTCCATTGAGACAGAGTGGGCGTCCCAAAAAACTCCTGCACGGATTTTCGTGAATATGTAGTCATCAAAAAGGGATTTCCAGCGATGCATGTCGCGGCCAAAAATCGCGAACGACGACCTTGTCCGCCGTTCATGGACCCGTCGTCTAGCCGTATATTTCGAACGAGGATTCGCGCAGGGACACCGATGGACCCGCGTTATCGCGAGAAGTCCAACAAGCGTTATCGTTTAGAGAAAAGAGAAGTCGTAACGAGGATTTTATAGGTGAACCTACGAAAGGATCATTGTCGATGTCTGCCACGGCAGACCGCAGCGAACTCGTGGCCCCACGTACGAATGCCGCACAGCCGTCCATTGAGACAGAGTGGGCATCCCGAAAAACTCCTGCACGGATTTTTGTGGATATGTAGTCATAAAAAATGGATTTCCCGCGATGCACGTCACGGCCAAAAATCGCGAACGACGACCTTCTCCGCCGTTCACGGACCCGTCGTCCAGCCGTATATTACGACCGAGGATTCGCGCACGGGCGCCGACGGACCAGCGTCATCGCGAGAAGTCCAACAAGTGTTATTGTTTTGAGAAAAGAGAATTCGTAACAAGGATTCTATAGGTAACCTGCGAA